TCTTTTATATTCCCTCCGTTTCAATTTATGTGAATCTATTTCCTTTTTAGTCTGTGCCAACAAGAATGACACATTTCCCTATTTGGAAACAATTTACCTTTATGCAATGATTTATAACCACACAAAATATATATGCCTCATTTTACACCACAAGTTTAAAAATCTTATCTCTTTTCTTAAATTTCGTGTCCAATCAAATGGGTTCACATAAATTAAAACGGAGGGAGTATAAGTTTTGATTGACTCATATCATAATTATGAAAAGAGTTGAGCTACTTGACATCATATCGTATCCCTTTTGTGTGAAAATCAAGTCTGAATTTCGAATTTACTATGCCTTTATTATTGTAACTATTTTATGGTATCATGCCTTATTTCTTGTTATACTTATGCTCTCACTTTTTATTGGATTTTTAGTAGGTATCAATGTGGTACCCCTCACTACTACTTCTTCGAGGATAGATTTGATACTTACTGAGTATTGTGGTTTTGTACTCATACTACCCTTCAGTATATTTTGTTCAGGTTTTGAGTTTGATTATTAGTGTGGCTCAAGGAAGGCCTAGCGGAATTTTGTGAAGACTCTTGATGAGTTGTTCTATGGATCGATTCGCAACTTATGAAGTTTTCTTCTATTTTCTTTTGTCTGGTTTTTTTCTTTCAGACAGTACTTTATAATGTTATGATTCAGTCTTGCATATATTCTTAGTTGCTTATTGACTCGTGACATCAATCTTGGGGGGGTTGATAGTATTGTATGAGTATTTGAAATTATTTTTTTTTTCATCTTACGGCTTCTATCTGTTAGATAATTTTACATCCTATTTAGTTTGTTTGTTTATGTGTGTTGGCTTTCCTAACAAGCAGATCAGGCTCCATCACGATCTAATTATGGGTTAAAGTCAGGTCCTGTAGTCTGCTTGTTTAATCTTAGAGAAGGTTTTCCAAGTTAAATGAGCTTCCACTACAAGAAAACACTTATTTTGTGTNCGTGTCAAAAAAAAATATTGCGGTGGTTTATAAACCCCCTCAATATGATTATAATGGTTCAAAAAAAATTGTGGCTGTTTTTAAACCCCCACGATATGATTTAAATATTTTTTAAAAGAACAATTATGTGGGATTTATAACCGCTGCAATATGATATTAATTTTTTAAAAAAAAATAGTGGCAGTTTAATTCCGCCACAACAAATCAAATTTCATAAAAAATAACCATAGTGACAAACATTACAAATTCAAATTCTTACGGAATTAAACAAAAAATTTATCATGAACAATGATATCTGATATGGTCACCAACCAACTAAGATAGTAAAAATGTATGTATCATTACAAGATTGAGCTTTATTAATTTCATTCTGAATAGAATGAGTACTATTTGCTCGCTAAGTCTCCATAAATTCTGCCAAAATAACACTATCATGCTAGGGCTAAACCTTTTACTAGGATATAATCTTTTACTAGGAAATAATTAATAGATGTTGTGAAAACCTGAACTTGATTGTTCTCATTGTTCTTGTAATAATCAACAATGAAATTCACCATTTTGTGACCATACTTTCTCAGTTGCTCTGCATCCATGGGTTTCAATTCATCCTCCCTAAACGTTTATACTTGTTTTTGATATGTTTTGTCCTCTTCCCCTGGGATAGAATATCAAGTCTTCTTCGTTCTTTAACCGGCCATATTACAGCTTCAAAACTTCAGTTGGATCAAGATATTAATTTCTAAAAGAAAAGGGAACTGCACTCATGAAGGAGTCAAGCGTTAACATAATCAAATATTTCTTAAACACAATATCCTATGACCTTTGAAATACAACATTAGCATTGTCTACCTCAGCTTAGAATTCCTCCAGTTTCACCTCCATATCATGTTCTTCGGCCTACAGTAAATTGGAATGTAGAAGCATGTAAATCATTTCCACAAGATATACATAAACCTCACATTTAGTCAACTGAAGAAATGAATTCAATAGAACACACATTTATCCTGGATGATTATTGTTTATCTCAAAATCAGAACCACACAATGGAACCAAACATTACATGTTGAGGTTTGGGTTTGGTTGGCTAGGACCAAGAGTAGCAGCCAGAGAAGGATTGTAATCACTCAGTCTTCTGACCTTACATGGTGCGCCCTGGACAAAACAATACGTGCATAGAGGCGCACAGAGCAGTCAGTTGAACGTAATAACATATACTTGATGTTGGATAAAGAATTATCCAGTAACATCTGATAAGCTCCAATAATGATAAATAAACAACTAACAAACGAACAAAAGAGAAAGAAACAGGTCTGAAGATATCAGCTCTTATGCGGGAAGGGGATGAAAGATGTTGCTTCCCAAACTTTATTGGACTAAACAAGACTCAAGGGATAGCCCTAAAACTATAATTTTCTACACCTTGCTTCCTCCCAAATGGATAAACCACCTACACAAGAGGTAAAAAATTTATCTTCTTTAAATCATAACTAGCTGATCAGCTATTACACATTTTAGGTACCTCAAATATGATGCCATCCAATGACATGGCATTACTAGCTTCCTCTACTGATCTCATTTCAACAAAAACAAAATTCTTTTCATAGTTTATAGACATTGACAACAACATCCCCTGAAAATTTTCAACAATAGTTTTACTTATATGACAAAGGAGGACAAATTTTAAACTAACCTGGACCAGCTATGTTTCCTCCAATTGCAGACATAACATGACTAAAGAAGGTCGCAACAGACTGTATGAGAATCAGTGTGTCAAGAGAAACAAGAGGTATGTCTGAGAGCAATGTGAGAGATAGGTCATAGAAAATCAGCTTTAACCATGAGGTAAAAAAGAGAAAACTACATGCAGATTTTCTCTCTCAACAGATAGTGACTTCAAAGGATATCTTCAAAAAGAAATATCAAATAATGGTACATGGAATGAGGTTGGTTCTGTGATACTTTACTATAAATTATTAAATTTCAAAATATTAATTCTTTAAACATAGATGTGAATAGTACTTTGAGCACCATTCAGAAAATCACCACATACCATATTTATATAGAGAGTAATAGTAAATAAATGAATGACTAAAAAAGATTTTCACGGTGGTGACAGTAAGAAAGGTACTACTACTGATTTCATACTACGTCGACAGTAAATCAGATGAAACTAAGTTATATTGATCGAAACGACTGCGTAACAAATTTTACATCCACAAAATGTAAGAAGTACTAAACCACATTAAAAATATTGAAGTGAATCTGAAAGATATCAAAATATGAAAAGGAACTAAGTAACTTCCAAAATTTGATTAGCCAACTTTTAAACAACTCAAGTCAAGTCACAAGAAATTCCAAATTTGGACCAAAGTGATTCCAACAGCATAATATCTCTCATATTTGAAGGCGAAAAAAGATGAATCACTCAGACACAGTTAAACTCAAAGGGCAACCTGATGCACAAAGTATCCCGTATTTATGCAGGGTCCAGGGAAGGGTCGCGCCCTAAAGAGGTGTGATGTAGGAAGCCAACCTGATGCAAGTATCAATGGCTGATTCCACGACTCGAACTTATAGGCCACACAGAGACAACTTGACTGTTGCTCCAAGATTTGTCTTCGCACAGTTAAAACTACTATGCAATGAATACAGGAGAGAGTGTTCATCTAGTTTGTTTCAACAAATAAACATTATATGGAAATGTCAAAAAGACCAACTACTTCTTGAGATTGGTAGAGGGTGGTCTAATACCTGTTCATTTGCATTAGCTGGAAGTCCACCAACATAAACTCGCCGAGCATGCCTAGTAGCCTGATAACAGAACAAGTTAGGAAACACTTCAGGTTAAAAAAAGAGGAACTCATACGCACTGTGAGCTTGAAAAGGAAATTACTAACACATTACCAACCTCATGTGTCATTGCCTGGATCGGCATAACAGGAAGAACTCCAAACTACCACAACCAACAAGGAACAAATAAATGAGAATCTTGATAAAAGCATTGAATCCACACAACTGAAAAGGGAGTGCTGACAGTACCTGGCCCGATGCTAAAGGAAGCATCGCTTGTGACGGCGAGACCAAATTGAATCAACGATCTTCTCTTGCTTTTGTTGAGCCACACTTCAACTTTTATGATGGCTCATTTTGCATTATTCTTTTGTTATCCAATATTGTGGTCCAACGTCAGTTAATTTTTTATTTTTTTGCACCTAAAGATTCATGATACTCATGTGGTTAGAAATTACNAATGATTTTGAAAGAATAAATGAATTCTGTATTAAGAAATATAAGTAAAACAATATAAGGAGTAGAAATTTTACAGTGTATTCAGAAAATATTTGTAACTACCAAACAGGCAATTCCTGGATAAAGATGAACAAGACCTGTTTTGGTTCTTCCTTGTACATAAAAGCTACAGAAGTCTGCTCACACCCATTGTCAACATAGTGGGGCAAGTAGCCCAATATTGCCTTGTTAGAACATAAGACAAGACATACAAAACAAACAAACAAACACAAAACACAACAAGAAACCAAAAACCCTCAGTTTCGGAATTACTTCACCAAGTAAACAATAAATAAAAACAAAAAAACCAATCTACTCTATGACTCAATACCATTATAGGTGGAAGTTAAAGAACCAAAAATCTTACCAAAACGTAACCATGCATTTTGATATGGACTTCCACACTATGTCAAAGAAAAATGTGGCAGTTATCAACGTAATATCAGCAGTAACCTTAATGATGAAACAAGTACCTGTAGCAGCCGTAGTACCAGGTAACATTGCAGTGGTAGGAGGTGCCATATCATAATCACCACGGATTAAAAAGAGGTAAATCAAATAAAAAAGGGTGAAGCAAATATGAATATCATTTCTAAATATGCCTTCAAACCAAATATGGATACCATTTCTAAACATACCTATACACCAAATAAATGAAATAAATATTACTTAGTTATGCAGTACTGTTACCTTCATATAAAGAAACATATTAAATAAATTTTCTATTCAAACATGCATGTATCTGATGCTAAGTTAGTAGCAACATTTTCCTCTACTACATCATCTATTATATGGTCCTTAGCTAGTTGTACATACTTATCACCATCACTAAAGAACTGTTCGAGTTCTTGCTCTTGGTATGGTTCATTCTCATATACTTCATCTTCCACTACTTCTTCTCCCATATCATACAGATCTCTTGGCTTTAGATGCACAGCAATACTCCACCCTTTATTGACAACATCATCCGTATAGTACACTAGTTGTGCTTGAGATGCTTCGATATAAGGTTCATGTTCTTCACGTTCACCTGTATGAATCAATCTATCAAAATTAACACAATTTAAGTTCCAACGATCCTTTTTATACCCTCTATCTCAAGCAGTATCAGCCCATCTACATTTGAAAAGAACCACCTTGAACCGACGATTATAATTAATCTCAATAATATCTTCTAACTTCCCATAATATGGTAACTCTGCTTGCCTTAAATTTCCATCTACACTACTTGCAATACATGATATTTTAGAGGTTAAGAAAACTCCACTATTCTGTGTTTGTAGACCTTCTTCTCGAGCCAAAGTTCGAAATTTGGACCCATTGATGTTATATGCAGTAAAACTTCTTGCATGTGCCGATGGACCTCGTGCAAGAAACTTTAGATCAATAGACATTGTATCTATTGTGTCTGGATTCAAAATCTAAATCAAAATAAAATTATCTTAGTGTCATTCAAATAAAATGTAAATAATAACTAATGATTACTTACTCACCCGCTTTTGGAACCAATCAACAAACTCTTTATTAACTCTCCTCTCTATCTCAGTAGGCGATGGTCTTCTTCTTGAACTCCTCCTTATGTACAGTCTAAATTCACTATATGTAATAATTACATTAACGTTAAAGAACATGACTAGCCTACTTCAAATATTACAATGATAAATAATATAAAGTTCGTATGAGTTACTCACTCCACAAATGGCGTGACAATTGCACAGTTCAGAAGCACATATCGATGAGATTGTAGTTTCTGTATATGAGTTAAAAGGAATGTAACCGAAGCTGATGCAGGTTTACCTAATTGAGGGAAGATAGATGACCTTCCAGAAGGCTCAGTGACATTTGGGTCATCACGAACATGCCTAGGTCTATTGAATCTTGCCTCAATATCCTCAATATACCGAGAACAAAAGGTAAGAGACTCTTCAGCTAAGTAACCCTCAGATATAGAACCCTCTGGTTGTGCTTTATTTCGTACAAATGACTTAAAATGGCCTAATTCCCTACAAAAATAATAGGAAATAAGTGTACAAACTATTTAAAATGACCAGAATACAAGTATATTCAAATTAGAAGTGTTAATGTTTTACCTCTCAATAGGATACATGTTTCGGTGATGCACTGGACCTCCCAGTTTTGCTTCTTCTGCTAGATGGAAAGACAAATGAACCATTACTGTAAAGAATGATGGATGAAATAGTATCTCTATGTGGCAAAGTATGCTTTCAATGCGCTCTTGGAGCTTATCAAGCTCCAAAAGATTCAAGGTTTTGCTAGAAAGGGCACGACAAAATGAGCAAAAGTCCACCAAAACTGCAACTACATGGTCTGGCAACACATTGCGGATCGCCAATGGTAGCAATTGCTCTAAAATAATATGGCAATCATGACTTTTCAATCCAAAAATCTTTTTTTGTACCAAATCAACACATCTGAAAATATTACTTGAGTAGGCATCTGGTACTTCAATATTCTTCAAAGTTGTAAGGAACAACTTTTTGGTGTCCAGCTTCTTTTTGTTATCAGTCACAAGTGAAAAAACAGCAAGATGATATTTTTCACTATCATCCGGCCAAAGATCACGCCTTATGCCCATTTCTCTTAGATCCTTTCGGGTATTAATATTATCTTTTGATTTTGATTTATCATGCAGCAGCGTATATATGATATTGTCACATATATTCTTTTCGATATGCATAAAGTCTAAATTATGACGTAACAAGTTAGATTTCCAATAAGGAAGTTCAAAGAATATACTTCTCTTGTTCCATTGTTTAGTTGCTCTTCTAGATCTTTTCCCGCTAACATTCAACTCTGCTACTCTCCTTTCTTCAATTTGTCTCAAAATGTCCAACCCTGATAATTTTAATGGCGGATTCCGCTCCTCTTTACTTCCATTAAAGCGTACTCGATTCAGCCTAAACCTATGATTTCTTCTCAGAAAACGTCGATGACCCATAAAACACCACTTTTTACTATGACGAAGACGACAAGGTTCTGTGTCAAAGTTACAAGTTGGGCAGGCAAAACCAGTATGTGTGTTCCAGCCAGATAGGATACCTAATCCAGGAAAGTCACTGATTGTCCACATAAGAGCTGCATGCATTCTAAAATTTTCATTCAATGATGAGTCAAACGTTTCAATACCATCATTCCATAACTCACATAATTCCTTCACGAGGGGCTGTAAGTACACATCTATATTATTTCCAGGCATTTGCTTGCCTGGAATAATCATTGATAAGATGAAGGAGGTGTGCTTCATACACATCTAAGGAGGAAGATTGTATGGAATCAAGAAGACTGGCCAAATACTATAGGTAGTACTCATTGTTCCAAAATGACTGAAACCATCAGTAGCAAGGCCTAAGCGAACATTTCGAGGATCCAAATCAAATCCAAAATGAGTTCGATAAAATGTCTTCCATGCCTCACCATCCCTTGGATGCCTCATCAACCCATCCTCGTTACTGCTTGAAGCATGCCATCTCATATGCTCAGCAGTCTTACAACACATAAATAATCTTTGTAACCTTGGTTTTAATGGAAAACAACGTAGAACCTTTGCAGATTGCTTTTTTTCTTGTAAGGATTCCATTTAGATGTACCATAATGCTTACATGCTTCCAATTCTGAGTCACCTTTCCAGTATAACATACAATTATTTGGACATGCAGTTATCTTGATGTAGTCAAGGCCAAGTTTGCTAATGGTTTTTTTGGCCTCATAAAAGGAAGGAGGTAAATTTGCATCTTCAAATGCATCTCTCAACAAATCTAGTATCATGGTCATTGCCTTGTCACTTAATCCACAATAGACCTTTATATGATACAATTTTATTAAAAACTCTAACTTTGTGTACTTGCTCCCTTCATACAGTGTTTTACTTCCATCTTTGAGAAAATCATGAAAGTCACCAGAATCCTCCCTATGCCCCTCATTTGATATTTCATTTGAACCCAATGGTTGAGATATCCCTACATCAGCCGCTTGGTGCCTATATTGCCCAAATGCATCGTTAATCATTGTTTCTATTGGATTTCCTGGATGAAACATCTCTTGCATAACATCTCTATCTCCAGAAGGCTCTACTACCTGTTTCTCACCATGAAGATTCCAAATAACATAATTTTGAGGGAATGGCTTGCAAATCAAATGATCCTGCACTATTTCTCTAGTTTGCCACTTGCCAAAACCACATTTAGGACATGGACATTTGATTGTATCTTCCACAGCCGCATTCTTAAATGCAAAATCAAGAAATTTATCCAAACCAAGCAAGTATTCGTTTGTGTTCCGTGGCTTTCCAATCCATGATTTATCCATTGGAAAGTAATAAATAAAATTAACAGGAATCGATTAGAATATACCTCCAAAAGCAATCATCCAAGTCTACGAGTATCTTCAGATTTGGCTATACTTCCAATCTACTCCAAGAATTTCAAATGCTCTTTCAAACAAAGTTAATTCCAGAAACTGGCACAGGACAGAACGAACCAAAGAAGAATTCCTACAAAGGACTCCTTATATATATGTTCGTTCATTTATCGAAGGATAACAAGCAGTAGAAAAAAGAGGGCCAGAACTACAAACGAAGAAAAACCTAATCAGAAGAAATTTCAATATTTCCCACGGTTATTGCTTATGGAGGATGGACTTGCCGCTTTACCGTCAGTGCTTCCAATTATTTAAAACTAGCAATTTATGAGAATTAATAGTATTTATATTAATATAGAGAACTTTTCACTCTTATGAGTTATGGTAAATAAGTGCTTTAAAGAAGGTAGAAAGTTTTTAAGATTTGTGAAACCAAAAAGGGCAAGGATTCTGAATGGAAAAATAACGTTTAGGGTTAAGAAAGAATGACTTTGGGGCACTAAATAGCTTTTCCTCTATTCATTTATTTTAATTCTTACTAATTTTAAGATATGCTTTTACGGATGTATCTACATAAATAAGTATACAATTAAAAAATCAAATAGGAAGTATTTTAAGTTATAAAATACAAGTTAAAGAAAAGGTATAAGCTCTTGAAAATAATTAATATTGATATTATTTAGCTAGATCAACATAGGATAAATCTTGTCATATAGAAATCCTATTACATGTAATGAAACCATTGATAAAATAATATTCTAAAATAAAATATTGATGAAACAAACGTAAATCCAAACAACATACACATAGACTCCAATTTGATCAACCCATTACTTCGTCCTTCACGTCTCACAAGAATGTCATAATCAATTTGAGTATCAACAGATATATTTCGTCACTAATTTACAAAAAATTTAAGTAGATATAACTGTATCTGAATTTAAAGTTCACTATAAGCTTAAATCTAAATGTTTATAACAATTATAAGATAATTTTAATTATTACATCGACGGATAATTTTATTGAGCTTTTCTGTTATGACCCAAAAATTCAATAAAGGTCGTGATGGCGCCGGACACCACTGTCGGGCAAGCCAACACTAAATAGTTAATTAAATCCTCATTTTAGTGTTTCTGAAAACATAAATTTGCTTCGATTTAACTAGTAACAAACGAACTTTAAGAATAATAATAATGTTTTCCATTTTCAATACTAAATATCCCTTAATCATCCCAGAACCCGGTGTCACAAGTGTATGAGTATCGGCTAGGAAGATAAAATAAAATATAACATATGTCCAGAATACAAATTAGACAGGAAAATATATAAGTAACTCTGAAGGGGACTCTGCCAGCTGCGGATCGTAGATGGAAATGCATCTCACCTAAGTCTCCGCATTTACCACACATCGGCACCCACAAGGCTGCTAGACATATGTGCACATGCACAAAAATGTACAGCAAGTGTAGTATGAGTACGTAATTCAACGTGTACCCAGTAAGTATTTGCCTAACCTCGAAGAAGTAGTGACGAGGGGTCGACTCGGACACTTACTATAGCCAACAATAATATACCGATGATATGATAAATTATGGATTTTATAAGGCAATTGTAAACTCAGTAACATGAAGCAGGTAAATAATTCGTTTGTTAATAGGGGATTTCCAAATTCCTATTTCATCATTTATCAATTTATCTCAAACCAGGGAGGCAATATCATTATTTATAAATTTCAAGGCAAACAATACAAGCATGCGCAAATCATGTTGAGGTCGTACGGCCAGATCCAACATAATATTTAAACTGTGCACTGCCAGAGGGTCGAATGACGCGAACCATAGATGCATCTATTTAATCTACCGAAGCATTCGGCCCGTTCCACAAAAGATTACACATTCAAACAATCAATCAAGAATTCATCAAGGGGCAATTATCCAAGGAAAAAGGCAATTTCTCTTTTAAAAGTCAAGAAAACGATGTCTAGCATTTTAGAAATTTATTTACAAAGTTCGATATGATTTAAGCATTTTAAATTGACAACAAGATTGCAAATATTACAAGTAAAGCATGCTTTTGGGTCCTAGACTACCCGAACTTAAGCATAATAGTAGCTACGTACGGACTCTCACAACCTCATGCATACGTTGCCCCCACAAAGAGGAGCACACATTGATTTATTTCACCTATGGGGTAAATTCCCTCTTACAAGGTTAGAAAGGAGACTTACCTCACTCCGAAGTTCCATAAACGGCTTCCGAGCCCTTCAAACAACTCGAATCGATGCTCAACGCCCCAAAACTAGCCAACAATGATGCAAACCCATTAATATATACTTAAATACTCAATATAATCCAATTTATAATAATTTCTAACCCCGACCGAAAAGTCGATAAAAATACCCTCGGGCCCACGTGCCCGGATTTCGAAAATTTTCGAAGATAAACTTTACCCATAACCTCGCGAACTCAAATATATAGTTTATTCTCAATTTCATGTCCAATTTTGTGATCAAAAATCCAAAATACTAAATTTTAGGTATTCTACCAAAAATCCCACAATTTATACTAATCTTCATGTTTAAATCCTTATAAAAACTATGTATTTTACTTATAATAAGTGGGAATCACTTACCTTGGCATTGATGACGAAGAATGAGCTCCAAAATCGCTCTAAGACCGGCTCTCATCGAGAAAATGGGGTGAAAATGAGCTAAGCTCTTGTTTTTAAAGAACACACTGCCCAACCCCGACGTTCACACCTGCGGTCAAGTAGCTGCACCTGCGGCTTCGCAGGTGCGAGACACCTTCCGCTTATACGCCTTCTTCCGCTCCTGCAAGGCATTTTTCGCTTCTGCGCTTGCACAGATGCGGCCCAAAGCTCAGCACCTGCGGTCCTTCACCTGGCCGGCCTGCTCCGCATCTGCGACTCCAAATGTCTCTTCTGCGCCCTCCGCACCTGCGGCCAAAATCTCGCAGGTGCGGGTACACCAGATATCAGTTGCCTCAACTCTTCTTCAAATTTTAAATTCGATCCGTTAACCACTTGAAATCCACCCGGGGTCCCCGGGACCCCATCCAATCACACCAACCAGTTTCAAAATACATTACGAACTTAGTCGAGCCTTCAAATCACATCAAACAATGTCAAAATCACGAATCACAACTCAATTCAAGCTTTATGAACTCTAGAACTTCAAACTTTTACATTCAAAGCCTAAACCTATCAAATCACGTCCGATTGACCTCAAATTTTACACACAAGGCATATTTGATATTACGGGCCTACTCAAACTTTCGGAATCAGAATCCGACCCCGATATCAAAAAGTCTACTCCCGGTCAAACTTCTCAAAAACCTTCAAATTTCTAGCTTTAGCCAAATGACTCCAAAATGACCTACGGACCTCCAAATCCACTTCTGGACGCGCTTCCAATACCAGAATCACTATACGGAGCTATTCCCAGACTCGAAATCCCAAACGGACATCGATAACATAAAATTCACATCCATATATATATATATA